AGCTGCTTGACCAAAGCAGAATTCAGGAACTGCCTGAGGTGGTTATTTTCTTCTTGCAATCGTGCTAGCTCTTCCTCCTTCTGCAGCAAGGTGTCTTGAAGCTGGAAGTCACAGAGAGGATACAACAAGGCACAGGTCCAAAGCTCTGCAACCAACATGACTATCACCCCCCTCCACCCCCAGCCTGTGGAAATCTGTATGTACTGTTTGGAACTTGATCCATGGGAGGAAACCTATGTCTCAGGAGAGCAAAAGAGATCAAGAGAATGACTGTCCCAGGCTCAGGTTTGACTTTTCCTGTTCTTCTGCAAAGTATTTGATGAGATTTCTTTGAAAAATGTAACCACAAAGCCACACACAAAAAAGGTGAGCAGCAGGAAAAAGTCAATAGGGAACAATGCACAGAGTGCAAATATGCAAAGATTAGCTGCACCACAGTGCAAGGTTACCCATTCAACTCCTTTTCTGTTTTTGGAAGGTCTGAATCAATGAATTCTAGTTGGAAGAGACCCCCAGGGCCATCCAGTTTCACCCCTTTCTGCCATGCAGGAAGACAGAATCCAAGCTCTACCCAGCCTCTGTTTCAAAACCTCCAGAGAAGGAGACTCTACCACTCTCTAAGGCAGTGTATTATTCCACTGACAAACATCTCTTGCCACCAGGAGGTTCTTCCTAAAGTTTAGGTGGAATCTCTTTTCCTGTAGCTTGAATCCATTGCTCCAAATCCTATTCTCTGGAGCAACAGAAAACAAACTTGCTCCCTCCTCAATGCAACATCCCTTCAAATATTTAAACATGGCTATGACGTCACCTCTTAACCTTCTCTTCTCCGGGCCAAACATACTCAGCTCCCTGTTGAACCTCGGAGGGCTAGGGGGTTTCCAGACCTTTCACTATTTTGGCTACCCTTTAGTGGACATGAGGAATTTTCCTTTTCTTCTGTAGGACAACTACAGAGTAGCAGAAGGAAGAGAGGAGTAAAGTACCTTGCCCCTTCCCCAATTAATTCCAAATGCATTGTGCAACTTGGGATTTTTCTAGCTGTTAGGGCAAACTGTACCTGCTTTAGATTTCCTTTTCAATTTTTGCAATGCATGTCCTTCCTATAGCTTGGGAAAGAAACTTTTTGGACAACTTTTGACCTGCCTTGGGCTCCATTTTTTATGGGGGGGAAGGGGGTTATAAAGATTATGGAACAGCCTGCCGGACGAGATCCGTCAAATTACCAACCTAGACAGCTTTAAAAAGGCTGTCAAGACAGATCTCTTTCGGCAGGCCTTTCCTGATTAAATTCACAGCCAAGGAGTAAATTAATTCCACCCCCATCTGTTGCCATATCTTGCCACGTTATTTATTGCTTGCAGGCCGTCTATTAGATTGTTTTAACATCTACTGTTGTAAATTGTTAAAATTGTTTTATTGTTGTTAATTGTGGCGGACTTCTGGCAAGGGTTGCATCTCACACTAGTTGGAAAAAACGTTTTTGCCAACAGTCTCAAGAATTTGATCAGGA